GCTTAATAAAACAACCCTATCGGTCCCACGTGACCAGTAAAAAATCCTTAAGAGCACCTAATACACGTTTTAGTCTTAAACACAAAAGAGACAATCAGAATGGACACACGTGCGAAATGAACCGTAAAGCAACGTCAGGGTAACAAAAAGAAAATAGCCTCCGACCGGTGCAAAGAGCGACTCTACCAGTAACACGTACAACCTCTGATATCGTACAAAAAGGCAGAGAAGAAGTGTGTCTGACACGTTGACGCGTACGCGATAAAGTAGTTACGTTCGGTGCATAGGGGATTTTTTTTTTAAAATCAATATTATAAATTTCGGAAACAAATGTGTTTCATCGTCACACCAATCTTACATGAGCCATAATAACCAAAGAATTCATTTTCAATCTATCATGGTCTCAGATTCCTATGTTCCATTTTCACAGACGTAAAAAAATACGTTGTACAAAGAGTTCATTTTCCGTTTTCATAGTCCGTAGTTTATAGTAAGATACCTACATGAATTTCATGGCTTTACAAAAGATACGACTATCCGTGGTAAAGTTCTTATTATATCAGTTAAACAAAACTAATAATAATAATAAGACGTAATACACACAATAAGTGTCGCACTTTTCCACCTCGAAAAATCTCAGGAAACACACACCACATGATCACAAAAATTCACAAACTACTCATACAGTTTAATTAGGTATAGACCGCTTATCATTGGACTCGCTTCCACCCCCCCCACCCCACCCCCCCCCACCACCACCCCCCCCCACCAACCCACCCCCACCCACCCCCCCCCACCCACCCCCACCCCACCCACCCCCACACCCCCACCCCCCCCCACCCCCCCCACCCCCCCCCCCACCCCCCCACATTCCACTTTATCTCATACATCCACACATCCATTCTTATGTAGATTAAACATCACCCCCATAACTCTCATGTACATATCACAGTGTGTTTATTTATTATGCAACATTCTAATACTTATTCTATGAAATTTCTCAACATGAAAAATCATATCAAAAAAAAAAAAAGAAAGGTGGTGAACGGAAACAACTGCTATAAACTCAACTCATAGACTTGAACTATTGCATTCATCGGCCTTAATCCAACATGTTGGAAAAGTTTACCCTTCCGTACGAAGCCGTTTACATGAATCAAATACACGAAAGATTATAAACAAGTGTTCCCCAATTATATATGTCGATCAGGAATGACAACCACCAATGAAAGGATGAAAATCTATTTATATGAAATCGGTTCACATCTCAGATGACGTCACATTTAACCTCGGACTGTATATCATCGTCTACAAAGTCAACCATCTACGTCTAAGTCTTACATAGTAGTTTTTACTAGTATTAAAAACTGACCCCAAACCATTGAACCGATTGCTCCACGAAAAACAACCCAAGTGATCTAATAGTACCTCATCTTAACAAAATCGCACGCGCTCTGTCGCCTCTATATTTACTAAGCTGCAACCAGTAACGAACAAGTATGATATGTAAGGCGAAATATCCTGTTGAAACAAAAGAAGGTCGACCTCGTACGTTACACCTTCTCACTTGAAATTTTGCAGTCGAATAAAGAGCTACTTTCATAGTAGCAAACAAGCCTTAACTTCAAATAATACAGGACATATTACTAGACTCCGGAATCTAACTTCCTGTACTTCGGACCATAACAACTGAACTTTCTCCTGAAGAGAAGAGGAGAAAGCAGATAGGCCAGTTACGGTCCTACCTTTGGCCTCTGTACGTGTCCTGGGTGTACAAAAGACCGTGTTAAGACACTTTTTTACATAAGTGTAAATAAAAGTAATTAAACAACGTGTTCAACAGGAACCTACAGATTTTAGCAAAGGGACAATTACCGTATTCCGACGTTATCCGTCTGCGAAAATGATTTTTCGAGTCAAGGTCGTTACTCTTTACTTGAAGTTTATGGTAGGTGTGACAAGAATGTTTTTCGAATGACGTTTAATCGGGTCGTCCACCGTCTGATGATTACACGTAAAACTTATTTTCGTCATTCTGATGAGAGATGTTATGGAAACAGCTTGTCTCCGATTTGTAAAAGTTTTAAAATGTTACTTTACGAATTTATCTCGCGTATATATGTACATTTTATGAATTCTTTGGGTGACAACAAATAATTTAATCTGTTTTGGTGGTGAGCTACACATTGACATTTTATCTTTGACGAACGTCAGTAATGTAACTTTGTAGTATTATAACATATGTGTAAGACTAGGTAGACGTATTATTCTAAGGAGACTACTCATAAACTTATTGTCGGCATCCGGACCCAATGCTCCGGTTGTACCTTAAAAGGTTAACAATTAAATAAATAGACGTTATTCTTTCGGGTGTACGGACAAAAAGGAACCGGCAAAACCAACCCACTAAAATACTTGACAAGACCGTTAATTTATTTACGAACTCAGTACAGACGAGTTTTGATTTGAGGATCTGTGACTCTGAAATTTATCTTCCGGTAGGTACGTGTAGTACTGCGTTACAGTATATGAAAGACAAAGATTTTGTATAACATATGTTAGATAAATAATAAAGTTGACATAAAAAAAATAAGAATTAAAGACAAGGAGTGAAAATGTAACGAAAAGGATAACGAAATAAAGGAGAATTACAAAAAATACGTGTTTTCCGGCTCAGTAACATTCACTTTTGGATGTGCCGTTATTTACAAAAAATCTTCTTTTGCATCGACTTGGACGTAGTACGGTGTTAGTTTGTTGACGTATTCCTCTCAAAAGTTCAGATGTGATTACCTTTGTGGAGACAACACGTCGATATATTGTAAACAAAAGTGCGTTTATATAAAAAGGTTTCTTAGTTAGTTTGTAATAAAACCTTTATTAACCTTTGTATTTAAGTAACAACGCTATACTATTATTGATAGGATATGTCAGAAGTGTAACGTAGACGTAAATTTATATGTGTAAAACCAACTTTAATCGACTTCCTCCTCTCCCTTCTGTCCCGGACCAAAGAAAGACTTTATCCTAATGACATAAAAATCCTATATTAATGACAAACTTATGTTATTCGGTAGTTTGATGTCGACACTAATAGATCGGTCGACAGATACATCCACTTCTCGGTCCAGAAGAAACTTAAATTAATACACGACATTCAAACGAGACGAGACGTCGGAAGTCCAAAAATAAAGAACTACCTACCTACCGGTTTGTGTCTGATATCGACTCTCGGGATTTCGAATGACTGTAATGAGTCCAGTTCGTATTACTCGTTAGTTAGACTTTACAGGAAAACAGTCACCAGTGTACAGTGACAGTCCTTATGTGATTTGTGTAATGGTCATTTCCTGTTACAAATAAGGACACGACTAAATACCCGNCGCTTTTATCCAAAGCAACTTACAATTACAGGGACATTCTCCCTGGAGTAACTAAATCCCGCCAGGAACACCACCACTAGTGTGTAAGGCACTTAGTCCTTAGTTACTCCAGGGAGAATGTCCCTGTAATTGTAAGTTGCTTTGGATAAAAGCGTCAGCTAAATGAAATATAATGTAATAATATGACATATGTGGGGGTGTGGCTTTGAAAAAGACAATTTCATTGTATTTTAACATGGCGTCCATCAACACAAGCTCTATTTATAGAAAGAGAAATGGTAAGTTTGTAATTGTGTAATTACCAGTGTTGTGAGTTCAATATTTGTAATTAATTATAGTAAGGGAACATCTTAGGAGTTAGTGTAGTGAGTTTTCAGAGCAGTGTAATAATCATTTGACCTAAAACTAAAGGTTTTTATGAATGTCCTCTGAGGAGGACATGGGGATTTGCTAACTTTTTATTTCCCCCATTTTACACAACACGAATGGAGTCCACTATGGGCCAAAACTAACACCTAGGTTTCTGTAGGGTTCATGGCAGACGGATGCAGTGGGAACACATACATCAAGTGCCTCAAGTGTCAGATGTATCTCTGCATTTCAAAAAAGGATGGAGTACTACAAATGAGGGCTCAATATTTGTTGCATTGAGTTGTTGTGCTCTAATGTTGTCTAAATGTACTTGTATGTTAATGTTGTTTGTATACTATGCTTCACATAACTAACACCCACTGTCCTCTTCAAAGGACACACAATAACATAAAAATAAAAATATATTCTTTTAGTTTTTGTTAGTCATTATGTTAATACCACCCAAAAGACTTGTGTGATCTAAAAGAAAAAGGACATTTGAAACCTTTTTCTTTCTGGGTCTTAACAACAATGTTCATTTTGTGTTTTGATTCTATACAAAATGTTGGCTAGCCAGTAGATTGTTGGAAAGTAAGTTATATAATAGTGTTAACATTTACATAAGAAACAAAAGTAAAAGATAAACATGATCCAATTTTAAAATGCACACATTGAGTTGATCGATAACCATTTAATATCACTTCATTGAATGAATATTTGCCTTTCATTCATTAAACTTTGATTGATAAATAGATAAATGGCTCTTGTAAATCACAAATGAGTATGAATTGAGTGTGTTGAGTTGTATTGTGTTACGCGACTTCCCTTCAAGGGCTTGAAATTGAGCCGGAAGATCGGGGTGACAAATAACACCATGTTCTGGGTCAGCATGTTCCCTTCCTTCCCGGGTGTTAGTTTACCACCACATTAGCGTCTTTTCTAAATTAAATCCAGCAACAAACACAAGAACATCATGAAAGGGACGATACACCGATACCAATTCATTATGCTTCAGGAAATGTCAATGTTTCTTGAATGGTGTTTTCTTTGCATCTCTACAAGGGCACAGTACTCAAGATCAGCACTCTTACAAATGAAACCTCTGTACCTTCCAACCAGAGTGATTAAATTATGTAGAGAGCTTCCTTTCAACGTACATCTCCAGGCAGAGTCCATATTTCCTCCTGCATGCAGGTATTACTCTATTTCAGGGAATATTGCCTCTATATTGAGAAAAAATATGGCAAACGAAGCCATCTCAGTCAATCAAATCAAATCCTGCAACAAACACAAGAACATCATGAAAGGGCAATACATCGATACCAATTCCTTATGCTTCAGGGAATGTCAGTGTTTCTTGAATGGTGTTTTCTCTACATTTCTAAGGGCACAGCACTCAAGATCAGCACTCTTACAATCTAACCTCTGTCTCTTTCAACCAGAGTGATTACATTATGTAGAGGGCTTCCTTTTAACATACATCTCCAGGCAGAGTCCCACATATATAGTGGGTTTTCTCCGGAAGTTTTTCCTTGTACGATGTGAGGGTCTAAGGACAGAGGGTGTCGTATTGTCATACTGATATTCTGTACAAACTGTGAAGTCCACTGAGACAAATGTAACATTTGTGATATTGGGCTATATAAATAAACATTGATTGATTGATTGATTTCCACGCTCCCAGATCGAAGGAAGCTGAAAAGAATATGAGACGAATGCTTTGGAAACAAATTTGGAAATTAAAAAGAGAGCCATTATTTTTCAGATATATTTGAACAATAATTGGATTCAGAGGAGAGGTTAATTCTTCATATTTAAGGCGAGCATGTCATTGTGCAAATAGGAGACAAGACAAGAGCTAAGATTGATGACACCCTGCGAAGTATTGTATTATAGTGCTGTGGATTCATGTTTTTAAAGGCACATTCTTGTTTGTCAGTGTCACAAGGCATACAAAACATTGTTTAAAAAGGGAGTGCCTTGGAATATACAAATACAGATAATTGTATTGTTTTCCCAAGATCACCTCAAACTAAACTTGTTTGCAGTGCATGTAGCGCTCTGACGTTAGCATTTTCTCCAATCTTTCCCAAAGTAACATACATTTAAAGTGATTTCTTCATTTTTTACATTACATACTGTTGTTTCATTATTATTGCCCAATTTCCTTTAAGAAAAAATGGTAATACAATTTCATTATTAGCAGAGGCTTCAGCTTTTTATTTTGTATTTAATTAATGAAAGTGTTGAAGTCAGAAGCTAAGGTAAAACATGACCTGCAACTGTACTCATTGTTAAGAAGTACAGCCTGTATTTTTCAGTCAGAACACAACTAAACACAAGGAGTATTATCTTATAGAGCGTGCAATGTACCAAGTAATAGTTTTGTTATTTGACTCACCTCATCTCTGTCAGTGACCTCCAGGCTCAGGATGGACGAACCCCCAGCCAGGTTCTCAGAGACGGTCACATCGTATCTTTCCTTACTGAACTCAGGAGCGTTGTTGTTCACGTCCTTCACCTTCAGCACCACAGAGCCGTTCCCTACCAGAGAGGGAGTCCCGCCATCAGAGGCCTGAACCACCAGCCTGTACTCCTTCACGCGGCTGTAGTCCAGAGGTTGGAGCAGACGCAGAGTCCCAGAGGAAGAGTCCAACTCAAACACAGGAGTATCTGACGAAGGACTCTGCTGGAATACACTGTAAGTAACTCTTCCATTTGCTCCTTCATCAGGGTCTGAAGCTGATACGCTTAGCAGGATTGAACCCGTTGACTCTGTCTCCAGGACTTCAGCTTGATACTCAGACTCTGAGAACTTTGGGATGTGATCGTTGACGTCGGTGACTTGAATCAGCAGGGAGGCTGAGGCGGAGCGGACTGGACGACCCTGATCTTCAGCCACCACCAGCAGCTCGTACTTAGCCTTAGTCTCCCTGTCAAGTGAAGCAGCAACACTCACCATGCCAGAAACAGCGTCCACAGAGAACCGCCCCTCTCCTCCTCTCAGGGAGTATCTGATCTCCTTGTTGAAGCTGCTGTCTTTGTCTGTAGCCGGAACAACAGTAACGTTGGACCCTAGCTCCGCGTCCTCTGGGACTGATTTTGTGACAGAACTCGAGGTGAAAACAGGACCGTTATCATTGACGTCTGTGACTTGAACTTCCACCACGGCACTGTCGCTGTGGGATCCGTCAGAGATGGAGATCGTCACAGTGTAGTTGTGTGGAGCCTCGTCGTAGTCTAGCTTCACTTTAGTGGAGAATTCACCACTGTTGGAGATGGTGAATTTCTCGGGATCTGTGACAACCGTGAGAGTCGGAGGATGCTCAGCAGATAGTGCGAGGAAGTTAACCTGAGCACACAAACAGGAAGAACAAGAAAAATGATTTGTCACTAACTTCTTTGAAGAGGCACTACCTTTGGGGGTTTCCCTTTCCTGTAGTTTGTTATATAGGTTTTTGTGAATGCAAATGGTCTGCAAAGGCTAAAGTCCCTGTGTTCCCTCCAGAGAGAATTTCTCGATATTAACAACTTACCGTAAGAATAACAACTCCTGGCTCCTGCTCTTCTTCTACGGTGCCACGGTACAGTTTTTGTAAAAACTGAGGTTTCGAGTCACCAGGAGCACGAATGTTCACCCGAGCTGAGGAGGAGCGGGATATCGTGCCGCCTATAAGACAAGTGGGGAAGATTATCAGACTCATAATATTGAGTGTGGCGTAAAAAAAAAAAGTTGAACGTAGTTCCCTCGGATTCATCCACAGGATAAAAGCTTTCCAGGCGGGGCTCAGCTATACGGCAACCATTGAGGTTTAAGCACTTATTTTATCATATCTTATTTGAGGATTTTTATGTCTATGTGTTTAATATTACATTACATGTTACCTGTTAGAAGCTTTTATCCAAAGCGACTTACATACTCAATACTGTGGACAATCCCCACAGGAGCAATTTGGGGTGAAGTGTCTCAGGGACACAACGACATGCTGACTGCAGTGGGGTTTGAACCTTTCTCCCCTGATCCAAACACCTACGCACTAGTCCACTGCGCCACACGCCTCCTAATAACTCTGTTAAGTACTTTGAAATGCTGCTGTGTGAAATTACAGTCTAACTAACTAACCTTCAAATCCCAATAAATAATTTGTGGTACGTGTCTTCAGACGTTAGCTTGGAATTTGATGTAAAGCCTAAGTAAATGGGAAAGTACAATAAAGTAAATAAAGCCTTTTTGAAAGATGCAACTGCGTAGGGTACTAAATCAAGTTACAGTATGTGACTGAGATCACCCATGTGTCTAAGTTGTGATAGATATATTTTATAATTACCAGGACTTTTATACGGCCAAAGTCCAAGAAGATAGAGTAATTAAAATGAGTCATTGAAAGATTCAGACCACAGGGATCATTTTAGGAAAACAACAGAAACTAATTTGAAGGACCTTGATGTTCACAGTAGGATTAATGCTTTGAGCAACACAAATACAAAACAAATCGTACTTGTAGCTTCAAAAGTTGTGATTTTGGTCTGATTATCTCTTTAACCCTAACAGGCTAAATCATCACAATCAGAAAGGGTGAAAGTGCTGGATATTCAGAGAGATATTGCTCAGATGTACCATCTCTGGCTGTTATGAAGAGAGGGAACTCCAAAAGCACGTTTTCCTTCAGGGGAATGGTTTTAGCCAGCGCGATGTTTCCACTGTTTTCATCGATTGAGAAGTAGCCGTCGTCGTTCCCAAATTCAATCGAGTATTTGATCTGCCCGTTCTTGTCGGCATCTAGATCTTCTGCCTTAACCTTTGAGATAAATAATACCAATTAGCCTCTGAGAGTCAACTGGGAATGACAGAGCAACAAATATCAACAGAAAGAAATGTCAACAGAAAAAAGCTTCAAGCTTAAAACTATAACAATTTCATAGTTAACAATAATGTAATAACTAACCTAAAAGAAGACTATTAGACTAATCAATTAACATTGTGGAACATTTGGTAATGACATGACTTAATAAAGGTTTACATTGGTGTTTTATACTCTAAATTATAACATCGCAGTCCAATTTTCAGCTGCTGGTTCTTCGCTTAATTAAAAAAATTGTTGATAAAAAACATGGGAAATTAGGGGCCAGGTTAAAAACTACCAATGTTACACTTTATGACATTAATTTGTAAAAAGTCAGGGTTAGTTATAGAATATTTTTGCCGTGAATGGCAGATATAAACATCAAATGTATGGCAAATGGAAAAAGAAAGGGGCCTCAAATTGAACCCTGAGGAACTCCATATTGTTTTCTGTATGGCAAATGGAAAAAGAAAGGGGCCTCAAATTGAACCCTGAGGAACTCCATATTGTTTTCTGGTGAACAACCTTCAAATATAATTTTCAATTTGTAATTTTATGTATTTCTTAATTGAAACGTAACTCTTTTTTTAATGTTATTTACAATATTTCAATCAGAGTATCATATATAACCGCTTAAGCTTGCCATTTAACAAACGTGAGATTGATATTTGTCAATTATGTCAAAATGAGCCATGAGAACTATCTTTAAATGCATAAAAACAAGACAGTTGCTATTATAAGTTAAGGGGATGGACATGGTAGCTCGTCAAATGCTCAACACTGGAAAACAATATCTGAATGGTAGATGAAAAATTACCTAAAATGTTAACCAGACTCATAACTGTGTAATCACTCACCTGGACCAGCGACATTCCCTCTGTTTGATTTGCATACACCTTTCCCTCGTAAGTGTTACTGGTGAACACAGGACTGTTGTCGTTCTCGTCCAGAAGAGTCACAGTGACTTGCACCATTACATTATTGTGGGGGGGATTCGCCTCTCTTGCTTCAATCTGTAAATAAAGAAAAGAAAAGCAAAGTAAAGCACAGAATGTAAACAGATGCAGCCCTGTCTGTTTTCCATACTGTAGGGGAATAATTTGCCCTGCATGTCCTCCTTCGCCCTCTGGCTGCCCTAGCATTTTGTTGTTGTTACCAGTTTGTGACCGGGCAACTCTCGGTCAGAGATAGTTATTGTTGTGGGACACCTGGAACACATCCTTCTAGGGGTGTAGATGACCCCGGGCCATAACCGACAACTAAAGTTGATTCAGTTTCCTCAGCTGTTTAGTCTAACTAATGAAGAATGTTGATTACCCTAAGCAAACTACTTAAAACCTCCTACCAGAGGAAGGTTGTGAGTTCTCCGGCTGAAGCTCCAAATAAACCCTCAGTGTTTGCCATCAAAGCTCCAGCTTTCCTCGTGTCTCTCTGAGTCCTGTTTCCAATGCTTCAGAAGTTTCCCCCACACGTACTACTGTAGCTAGTGGCATTTTGTGGCAGCCAATCATAAAGCAGCACTGTTTGTTTACCAACATTTTTAAATAGTTCCAAAAGAGCAAGTATTGTGATATTTAAGGGTTTTGTTTTAGATTAAAACGATCAATAAATGTATCAACTAAGAAAACAATAATTGTCAAACTGCTATTAGAAGGACATCAATGAGCCTCACAGTCTCTTTTATTTAATATACCCTCACAGTCTATAGTCTATATCATACTAGATTATCTTTTATTTTATTTTATGTATACAAACCTATGTTACGTCCTGGCAGAGCAATCCCTCCTCTGTGATATTGAACCATGGACAAGCGCACCAAATTGTTTACTTTTACTCAATCCCACATACGCTGTCCTGCTGGCCCAAATACTCACTAGAGCACAAATTGAATATTATTGTGGTAGTCATTTAGTTTTTACAAACATATTTTGTTTTAAAAAAAGACACAACCGTAGTATTTTGCATCAAAACTGGACATTTCAATGGTTAAAAGTAAAGAAATCCCTAATATTTATGAACTTTAAAAAAAAGAAAAGTATGTCTTTGATAGGAACCTGATAATTTGGAGCTAATGGTAAAGATTGTTTACCTGAAATGTGAATCTTTCAGTGGTCTCTCGGTCCAGAACTGTGGAGTTCTTCACTCTGACCGTCCCATCAGCACCGACAGAGAAAGGAGCAGAATCTGGAACGATCCGCAAAGTTCCCACAAATCCTCCCTGTGGAAAGAGCATCATTGAATAAATTACTTAATGAGGAATTATTGAGAATTTCACAAAGATACATAGTATTTTAAAAAATCCACCTCGTCCAGGTCAGTGACGACGGGTTTGAACAGAACAGCATCCAGAGGAGAGTTTTCCAGAAGAGTTACGGAGTAGTTGGGCTTGTCAAACTCTGGAAGATTATCATTCACATCCTCGACACTGACGGTCACCAAAGCGGCAGCCGTCTTCAAAATGTCGTCTGTCTGGGCCGCCTGCAGAGAGACAATATTACAGATAAACATTAATTAGGAAGTTTTGTATTCTGTATTCTGCACATGAACTGTGGTCTGTTGAAATCCAGATGAAAGCCATGTGTTGAATTGCTGTGACTGCATTCTTTTACACGTGTGTCTGATTTGACATGATATTTTTAAATGTAAGCATGTACATTTACATAAAAATAGGGTATGTAACATTTTTGTGAACCCACAATACCGACAATAGCTTG